AAAAAAAAAAAAAAAAAAAATGAAACAGCAACCAACGGTAACTACTTCTTATTGTTAGCGTGTCGCGTGTTTAAACTTAGAAGTTTATCTCTTCTCGTAAGTTCTTTGTTTGTTTGTTTGTTTTGTTTGCCAGTGCCATGTGCTCTCGCATTTTCTTTCTCTCAACGCTGTAACGACACAGTGTTGACCAATTGAAAAATAAATTAGGCCAATAAAAAGATGATGTCATCTAGCTTTACGGGGATCGTACCCGATAAAATCAGTCGTGGAAAGTAAACTGGCGATGAGTCGCAAACCTTGAACAGCTCGCAGCTTATCAAAATATATATTAAAGATCAACGGGAAATAATTCCCATGCCAGATAAAAACGAAATTCGCGTTTCCCATTAGAGAAAGGAGCAGACTTCAGCGGCGAGAGTGTCCTTCAACGCAAGTTCGAGCTGGTTGGCGAAGTGAATCAAGTCAAGATTCAACTGGCGTTCTCGACTAATGAACTTCGACAACGCACTACGGCTCTCCTGCTCTTACAAACGGAAAATAAGTAAGCTTCATCGCTTGCCTTTTTCACGTTCATCTTTTATTCGTTCGCGATCAATTTTCGCAATTTTCATTAATTCCAATTAATCCATTCAATCGGCATGGATCGAAAACGATTCTCCGACGATCCGAGAAACTGGCTCTTGAATCCTGTATGTCTTTCGACGAATTTCCTCTTCTTTCCAGAAGAAGCTACTACCTGCTGGTTGCTTTAACCTCGGAGGGCCAGCTGATTTTCGAAGAGGACAGGGAAGGCTCCGCGTACGGAGTTCGTCTAAACGACAGAAACTTCTTAAACGGAGGACGACACAGTGTCTACTATGTCCGAGATAACAATACCGCCTCGCTATTGGTACGTTGCTAATATTATTGTACCTCTCTAGCCTTGTACCCTAATATTATTATTATAACCTCTGGTCTTGTAACAAGTTCGCGAAGATTCTTTATTCGAAGAAAATCTGTTCGAAATGTGTTATGTGTTCGAAGTATATGAGTGGATCTGCTTATAACAGAACATACTTATGAGAAGTACTTATGAATCACCGATTTTGATCAAATTTGTATATATGTGTGTAGCGTTCGAAAAAAATATTTGACATTTCACGTATCTTTTTCATCGGCAGTCGTCAATGTTGAAGAAGGTGGAAACCACCCTCAAAGTTGGGGGTGCGGAATATAGTTTGTCAAACTTTGTGTACTGTTTTTGCGTGCATTGATGAAATTAGTGTTCTTTTAATCGTGCATACCATTTGTTTAAACAATACAAAAAAAACCGTATTTTTTTATCATTTTTTCGATGGTTTTTCCACGTAAATGTTAATACATTTTTTTGAAATAAACTATAATAAACTATATGTTCAAACACAAATTATGGATAAATTGAAATCGTGATTTTCGTATTCACAAAAGAATTCATTCTTTCTCGCTGGACGTGCTTGAAAAAACTAAACTAAACTTTGGAAAATATGCACGTGCCACCATACGTGCGATACTTGCAGTGACTATATGAGATTTATGATCGAGTTATTTTGCAAACAATATATATATTTCAAATCGCGTACAAATTGCTAAACTTTCTCTCTGGCTAACTTTCCTATTACCAATAATTTATAAAAATTTTACATTTCGTCTGATCAAATGTAACTTTTTTGCCAACAACTAAATTAATGATTTTTCTTTTTTTACGTGTGTCGTTCGCTTGGCAAACCGACTATACGACACGAAGTGAAACGCTTTGTAACGCATCCGATATCGAATACGCGTCGAGACTCGACTTTAGAGTAGCAATTCATTTCTTAAAAACCGATTGACAATTCGTTTCCCGGTTGTAGATCGATCGCGAGCCTGTGCAACTGATGCCAATCCCGGTGTTGAATCTGGGAGACGACGAGGACGATAGTCCAGGCGTGACAGAGATTCAACTAGGCGGGCTGAACACGACAGACTCGCGATTCAGCGCGTACAATAAATACACCGGCTGTCTGAGCAGTGAGTTGCCACGTTAAATCAACCCGCTTTGAGAAAAAAAAAAAAAAAAAAAA